ATTGAATTCATCAATAACCATAATATTTTCATTTTCAACGTTTATAAGATTTTCAGTATGTGAAATTCTGCTGAAGTCATTATCAGATTTTTCCGAATCTAAACTGCTTATATTCCAATCATCATTGACCAACGTCTGTGATACATAACTTTTAAATGGTTGAATGGGAATATTAATTTCCGTATTGTCAGAATCATTAAGAACCATTCATATCAAATCAATTAAGATTCATATCCGGAATCAAAATATTCATGGTCATTCTCGACATAATCATCATCTTCAACGACATCATCAAAGTCCATTTGATAACTCATTATATCATCTTCTTCAGAAAAACTGTCATCAATGTTTTCAACATTGTCATGCTCATCCAAGGTATTCAAAATGACAGGAAGTTGTTGATGAGTGACATCAATTGAGCTGTTTCTTTCTAAATAAATGTGGTCATCAATTTGATATTCTTGTTTATCGTACAAGTCAGATGAATCGTAACCATTTTCTTCTGTCAACAACGAAGAGGAAAATTCTTCGGAGTTCGTGTTAGATATCTTATGAAAGGCTTCATAAGTATGTTCATTATCATCACCCAAAGAAAAACTAGGCATAACGACTGGAATACGTTCAGAAACAACATGATCGTTCTCTTCAACTTGACCACCACAGTATATTTCCAACATATTGGACTCCGATTCATGGCATTTTTCTTCTGTAAATGATGAAGTGGAATTTTCTTCGGAGTTCATATTTATTCTATTGTATATGATCTCGTCGTGAAATATTTCTTCATTATTAACTAAACTGATGGTATCCAAGATAATCGGGTTTTGTCCAGAAATATTAATGTACCCGTTTTCTTCAACTTGACAATAATCTTCTTGCGAATTGCTTAAAACTGAACTAAAAGTTGTTGAGTTAACGTTACTTTGATGATCCCAACATCTAATTTTTTAATCATAGTTAAAATTAAATTCTTTTAAAAAAAATGCAAATTTTATTTTGCAGCGTATTAAAAAAAAAATATATAAAAGTAGTTAAGAAAAGTTGTTCAAATTAATAAAAAAAAAAATCTATCAATAAATTAAAATATCAATATTAAATGTAAACTTAAAAAAAGCTGACTGCAAATATAAAGTTGAATTTTAAAAATTTTACTTTCTTTCGGAAAACTAAGTAATTTAATAAATTAATATTATTACGGGTTTTTTTTAGCTCTCTGATATTCATTGTAATCATCGCTAATTTTTCTTTTAGAACTAGACTGGCCAGCACTTGTATCAATTGTACACTTTCCAGTTGCTAACTTCTTCGGCGGTGAATTTAATGTTGTAGTTTCATCGTCATTGATTACTTTTCTTTTTCCATTAGAATGGTCAGTTTTCGGATCATTTGAATTATGTTCACTAGAAATATTGTTTGTCTGTGAGTTCGAGGCTAACGATTCATCCTCGTCATATTTCCTGTTATTCATGTTTGGCATTATGGATAAAACGTAATGATCACTTGAGTAATCTCAAAACTTTATGGAATACACGATAATTTAGAAAACTATACAAGAAATTTACGTATTTAAACACAACATCTCTTACTCGCAGACAACTAAACGGAAAAATTAAATTTATTTTTCTATTTAGATTATACTTTACTGTTGTCAGAGTAATAAAAATATTAATCTATATTTTAACCAATATTTATTTATATAAATTCTTAAAATAATTAAATGAACAAATTCCCTATTCTGACGAATGAATGTTTTCTTTTAAATTGAATCAAATATTATTAAATTAATGTTTTAAAGTATTTAAGAGTTGCATTTGATAATTATTAGTTTTTTATAAGAAAAAAAAAACAAAACAATAATCACGTAGGTTGTGTTGTTAATAAGTTATTTACTAGTTTAGTGAATTTTAAAAGTACTTTTTACTTTATATGTAATTATTTATATTTTTTTCTCAAAATAAGAAATTATAGTGCAGAATTTTCAATTATTACTATGTAATTTATAAATTATATAAAATTAAAGATATCTAAAAATTCTTAAAAAATTAAAATAAAATCTCGTTTGAAATTATCTCTTTTCTTTTCCTTTTAGCTTCGATGCTGAAAAGGTATTGGTTTTACTATGATGTGTTTTTTTTTTTTTGTGTCTGTTACCACTTTTTCTTAGCTCTCACCGAACGGATTTCTTTTAACGATACGTCAAAAGATCACAAATCGTATCTAGTCGAAGACATTACCATCAAAAATTGAAAAATTTTCACTCGTTCCCCGTAAATGGGGGAAACCTCCAAAAAAATTACAAATTTAAAAAACGCTAATTTTCGAAATTTTTTCAAATTTTTTATTTAAAACTGCCATAACTTTTTTAAAAATGAACGTATCAATATAATTTTTTTTTTATAAATGTTTGATGTTTTTACCTATCAAATGATATATTTTTTTTATAAATTTAACCCTTTACCAGCCCACAGGGGGATTCAAAATGACAACTTTTTCACAAAAAATTAACTTTTTTAACTTAACTTTTGAAAGTGTTCCGGAAATACTGACACTTTTATATATATCTTAAATTAAAGCTTATGTAATATACTTAAATATTAAAAAAAAAAATTTCGGACTTTATTTTGTTTCCATGATGAAAACTGTCATCAAAGTTAATNAAAAATTTCGGACTTAATTTTATCTTCATGGTAAAAACAGACATTAAACTTAAAAAATACGATTTTTGTAAAAAAAATTCTTTTTTATATTTTTAACTTTATAATGCTATAACTTTTTAAAGATGTATGGATCAATATAATTCTTTTTTATGTAGATGCATGATGTCTTTACCTATCATTTGGTATATTTATTTTATGAATCTGACTTTTTACCTGCCTACAGGGGGGGATTCAAAATGACAACTTTTTCACAAAAAATTGACTTTTTCAACTTAAATTTTGAAAGTGTTCCGGAAAGTCTGACACTTTTATATATATCTTAAATTAAAGCTTATGTAATATACTTAAATATTAAAAAAAAAAATTTCGGACTTAATTTTATCTTCATGGTAAAAACAGACATTAAACTTAAAAAATACGATTTTTGTAAAAAAAATTCTTTTTTATATTTTTAACTTTATAATGCTATAACTTTTTGAAAGATGTATGGATCAATATAATTCTTTTTTATGTAGATGCATGATGTCTTTACCTATCATTTGGTATATTTATTTTATGATAGTGATTTTAATCACTGTCAGATATCATTATACTTGATCCAAATATGTCACGTCATCACTGTGCCGCGACCCCCCTGTGCTGGGTTTTTTGTAATAATTTTATGAAAATTAGAAAAGAACATTTTTTGTTTACACCAATGCTTAATCCCCTAAAGAAAATAATTTTGTTTTTAATACTACCTGGCTATATCATTTTTGTTTTATTTTGTTAATAAGACATACTTTATTTTAAAATGTTTAATAACTCCTTAGTATTAGATATCAAAATGTTTTTTTAAAAAAATGGAAATTTTTAAGGGATGTCAATAACTTATGATCGTAGTGCCAACAACTTAAATGTTAGTAATATTACAAGTGTTTTTTATACTTCAGTAAAAAATATCAATAAGTGAAAATGTATTTGACCTATTAAATTGACTTAGAACCTAAAACCTAGAGAGATACTTAATTTCGCCGGAAAGACAAGAATCTTTGGTCATCTATAGGAGTGACTTTATGGTTGGTATAATGTAATAACACTTAGGTGTGTAAACCGAATCAAGACAATTCGATATGAGGTGCGCACAATGGACCAACAGGTCTGAGTGCATGGACATTTTGTCCACCTGAATAATAACTAAAACTAAAATTGACTTGGAGGTCAATTTTTTGGTACATTTAAAAAGATAACAACTTTTTTAATCAAATAAAACATACTTCAAGTTTCTGAACATAATTTTAGAAGAAACATAGTATAATAAAACATTTAATTTCCTTAAGGTGCCAATTATTGGGTGCGTTACCTCTTGTTATATTTTTTGTTACTATGAACTAATTGCATCATTAAAATACATATTTTACTATAAAATGTACATCCGGAATAGTCAATTTATAGTGGTTAATAATGAATCTATAATTCAGTTGTAAAACCAATGAAACCATTATAGCGGTAAATGGTGTTAAGTGATAATTGTTATATTTAATTGGAATTATGATTTATCAAATATAATCTGTGTTAAAATTGCGCTTTTCAGTTGTGACGGAGAAATATATTTGAAGATGTTAAGTAATAAGTGTATCTGTAAGTGTAAAACTTTTCCAGATTGGGTTAGTTGTCTTGTGCTTTAATTGACCATCTAGAATTCATCGATTGTTATTATTCGCAAAATTTTACAGACAAAAACAAGTAATAGTGTTACTGAATAATGAGGATTTCAAATTTTGTTATAATAGCACTGAAAAAGATTGTTTTATAATTTTAATTTAAAACAAATAAATAATAATTTTGTTCTAGAGTAATTAATAAAATATTAATAAAAATAATGTAAAATATAAATATACTATTATAAGTATTATATATAACGTATTTATAATTAGAGTATATAATTAAATTCTAATTATAATATCAAAATTATAATGAACTTATACAATTAATATTAAAATACCTAAAAATAACCTACCTACCAATGTCGATACAAACTTTTGGAGGTAAGAGAAGTATTGATAAATTTTAATTTATGTGAGCACACAATTGTTCTTTGGTTTCTTTTAAGATAATTTTGGTAAATTTTACTCTTGCAATTACGTATGATTTTAAAAATAACTACATTATAAAATCAAATATTTTATTTTTGGTTTTTACATTAACATGATATTAGTAGTAATAATTTATGTTTTCCATTTGATGTAGACTGATATTACATATATTTTTAATTAATATTCCTTAGAATGATTTAAAAATATTTTAAGCCAGTTTTTCTTAATCAAGGTTCCATAATCATGAATAGTTACTATATAATTAAAAAAAAATACTACTAAATACACGGATTATTAAAAGTATATCATTATAGGTGGAATATTTTTTTCTTATTATTTTCAAAATAAAATACATAAAAAGTGATGTTCAACAATATAGTTTGTAGTTATATCAATAATGTAATCAATACAATATAAATAATAAATTATAATATAATTTCAATACAATATCCATTAGGATATCGCCTCACTAGAAAGATATCAAGAAAAATGGAACACATGTATGAGTAATTATGAATGGATTATAATTAGAAATACAAATGTGAACACTACTCACAATAGAAATTGTTTAAATGGATATTTCTAAAATAATTAGCGAGAATATTTGTGTATTCTTATTTCATTTTATATTTTAATTTTACGGTTTTTAACTAAAATGACACAATAAACAATATTATAGTATTGTTTGAATCCTCATAATATTTTCTCTCAATTTAATAAATAATAAAAATATAAACATGAAAAAAAAAGTTATAAAAAACAATTCAACTTTAAAATTCTGTTAAAGTCAACTATAAAAGTCCATTTAAAAAAGAAACTTTACAGAATGATTTCAAAAATTTGCATAAATTATTATCACGGTATTATAAATATAATTAAAGGGTAAAAAATATATATATAAAATATAACAAATAAATATTTTATGTGAAAATAATTGTTATTTATAAATACTAAAATATTGATAATAGAGAAAAAAAAATGGCATATTAAGAATCAGTATCAAAAAACCTACTAGAGAAACAATAAAAAAATGTCATAATTATTCTAATACCCAAATTTTGTCATAGTTCGGCAAAATTTTGGTTATTAAGATTATCAATAAAGGACGTATTTAAATTTTTAGATTCTATGTCCCAAAATATTTTTGAATATAACACTCTAAGTATCAAAAATAAAAATTTATTTAAATAAAATAAAATGTCCAATTTTTTGATAGGAACTATTCATTTTAATAAAAAGATTGATAATATAATATGTTTGATCTACCAAAAGCAAGGCTAACTCTATGCTATCATCATCAAAATGGTTATTTGTACATAACATAATTATTTTCTATATCATAATATATTGTAATTTTAAATCTAAGTATATATTTATTAAACCATATTTGATTGTTATATTGCTGTTTGCATGTTTTCTTTTTAATGTACCGATACGTTTCCGTTTTTTTTTTTTATTTATATTGGTTTTGACACTTAAAATATGATTGAACATTATACTAGATGTATACTATTTTTATTATTAATTAAGAAGGTTTATTTAATTATTAATAATCGGTTAAATTAACTGAACACGCATGATAGTTGGAACTATCTAGGAGAATGACGGCTACAGCATAAAACGGTTATTGTTATTATTTATAGATGGATATAATAACCATAATTAATCAACCGAACTAATATAGTAGAGATTAACCTAACTGATAGGCTCTCACAATACTAAGTTTCGGGTTGGAATAACTATACAGGGTGTTCAGTAAGTCAGGAAACGGGTATCTATTGTTCTCATTGTTTGTAACAATGAGAACAATAGATACCCGTTTCCTGACTTACTGAACACCCTGTATAAACTGTTATGTCAACCATACTTTTTTTCCATATTGGTCTATTGGACCTACAGCTATAGGATCAATAGATCTTAGATTTTTATCTCTTTTGTTTAGCTAACAATACCAGTGTTAACGTAACAAATGAAAGGGACAAGTTTATTTTTAATTTCAATGTTATTCATTACATCATGACATACTATTGTTCAGTATTTTTTTTTCTAAGAAAAAATGTATAGAATACGAATAAATCAAATTTATATAATTTTATATGAATTTCTAAATACCTATAAAAATTTTATTAGAAATAAAAATTTTGACTCTAATTACATATACAATCAAAAATCTGCGTAGTCAAGGGCATATGTTACTTACTTGCCAGCATTTTGTGGTTTAGATAAATTGAAATAGCAATAATAAAAATAAAAATAAAATGTTTTAATCTAAATTAAAATTTGCGCTTGTAAAAATAACAATAGGCACGTTTTTAAATTAAGAATATAAAAAACTATAAAAACATTATTAAATAATTTTTATTCTATAACTTGAGGTTGTTAATAAAAATCTAACTTTATTTATATCACCAAATATATATTATCATAAATTATATAATATATAATTCAAAAAATAAATTTTTATCCAATTTATTTCTCAGCATTTAATTACTCATTATAATATGTCACTTTTGTTTTGCATAATAATTAGGGTAATCATTTACTTTACTCACTATCTGAAAAAATATTTGTTGCTACTACTTTTGGCTGTAAACAGTGAACTTGTACAATACAAAGTGTTTCTAATTGTACTCCAAAATTTGATGTTAATTGTTTATATAATGAAAATTTACTTAACTTTAAATTAAATAACATTTTCAGAACCCTACCCAAACATAATATTACATTTAAAATTATACCTTTTTTATACAAAATATAACATAATTAGTTTTAACTCTTTGATTTTAGTTGAACTGTGGAACAAAAAATTCAGATTATATCTAAATATCAAAAACAACAGGATATGTAATTATTATTTAAAATAACGAATCATTTTCATAAGCAATAAATAGCTTTGAGAGAGTTAAGTTTAATTTTCTCTCGCTAAAATTAGTTTTATTAAACACTATATATATATATTTTTTTAGACAAACTAATTTTATTATTTAGTGCTTTGTCCTTTAAGCCTTAATCGCATATTCCGCCAATGATTATTTTACATTGAAAATTTAGAGTTTTATGAAATATTTTGTAAATATGATCTAGGGCGGAACAAATGGACAATTTTAAATGGGTGATTTCAATTATAATCGAAATCTTAGTATTAACAATTAAGTGCTTATTCTACATGGCAGAATCTGTCTATCGTATAATAATTCCAATGCCAGAAAAGTCAATATCCGAAGATATCGTATTGGTAAAATAAATTTTACTTTTAAAAACCCTAATATAATATTATAAATTTTTAACTAAAATAGATTACAGGTACAGGACACGGCATTGGAAAAGCATTAGCTTTACAACTTTCTCAATTGTGTGCGAAAGTTGTATGTGTTGATATAAACGAAAAATCAAATATTGAAACCGTTAATGAAATCAACTCTAAATTTAAAAACAAAGCATACGCTTACACGTAAGAATGATTTGTAAAAAAAAAATAAATCATTACAAGAAAATTTGTGTAGTTTCTTATGGAATAGTTAAATGGAAATTTTTACTCAATATAGTTTTCTTTGGCATTGCATAACATAAGTTATAATAATTAATACCTCAATAACTTTGAGTGTACAATAATATGCTGACATCTGTCAGCACAATATTTATAAATAAATTTTCTAAGCTTTTAAATTATTTACAATTTTTTTTATTTTACTGTTATATATTTAATATGTATTATTCATTTTTATGTGTTCTTTTCATTGAGCAATAATGCTATAGCCTATAAACTATATTTAATGCCCTTGAGAATATTAACGATCTAACTTATGATTTTGTGTATGGAGGTATCATCTTTATTTTACATTATTTTTGTTATAATCACTCCTTTTTTACTCAACTTATAATTTTATGTACAAAGTAAAGTAAATGTAAAATTAGCTTTTGATAAGTCATATAGTTAAGGTTAATTTTAGGTACAATTTGAACCTTTTAAAATAGTTTAAACAATTAATACCTTTTAAATTATTTAGTCTTGTCATTAAACATTATTAAAACAAGATTGTTATTAATAATAATTAACCTACTACTATATGAATTCTTAGGTGTGATATTTCATCATTAGAAAACGTAAAACAACTTGGTGAAAAAGTTAAAAATGAAGTAGGAACCGTTACAATATTAATCAACAATGCAGGGATAATGCCATGTAAACCTTTTAACGAACAAGATGAAGCAACCATTAGAAAATTATTCGACATAAATGTGTTTGCTCACTTTTGGGTAAATGTTTGGTTATCAATTAATAACAAATTAATTTTCTAAATACGAATTTTATACTTATATGCGTACATTTTCAAAAAGCACCTCAAAAATTTCATAAAAATTATAAATTTAAGCTCCTTTATTTTTTTTAGGTTACTTATTTATATAGAGTGGCCCATTTATCACAAGGATTTGTATTTTAGTATTACATTTCTACGAAAAAAAAAAAATGTTGATTTTTTTTAAAACTAAAGTCTTTTATATGTCAATGCATTGTAATGCCTTAATTGTATCTTATTTTAAAGGAATAGCATTTAATTTTTAATAGTATATTTAGAATCTTGGAACTTAATTTAAATTTTTTTCTTAAATACTTTAAGAAAAATAATTTTTATCTATAAAATGATCTTTGAAAATTTAAAAATACCTCATATTTAATTTTAAATACTTATTTGAACTGTGTTAAAATTATTATTTAAACTTTTGGCTTGACACATAAATAATTCATTATAGTTACAGATACTTATAACTTTTGTGAGGAACAATGTTTCATACAATTTTTCTTTTGAAAAAAAATCGTTATTTTTAATTCATGAGCATTTCTGTTTATAAATTAACAATAGTTATAATACTTAACAATAATGTCAAATGTCAACATAACTAATATATTCAATCAAGATAAATAAATACAACATTTTTTCTTCTGTTCTACTTGATCTATTCAAATGAAAGCACAACCAAATTTAGTGTACATTCAATATACATTTTATTATTTTAAATGAATATATATAAAGGATACAGTTTCACGTGAAAAATAACAAAGCTTCTCCCGAGCTAAGTGAAATGAATAACGCAATTTTACAAATATAATAAAAAAAATGTTTATACCAACTTATTTTTGTTTTAAATCCTTTTTTTTTATGACCAATTTGGAACAAGATATACTATAGTTATTATGAATTAATATCTATATGAATTAATAGTATGGAGTTCTGTGACAAGCTAATTGAAAACAATTAGGGTTTCTAGTTACCATTAAATCTTGAATAAAAGCTATAAAAATACATTTGATAATTTTATATCTTAATTTTTAGGTGCTAGATACGTTTTTACCCGGAATGATTTCGTTAAATAGAGGACATGTAGTTGCATTATCATCAATGGCTGGAGTAATTGGTGTGAGCAATTTAGTGCCTTATTGTGCATCGAAATTTGCCGTGAGGGGTAACATAAAATTTTTATAATTCTAACTCTTAGAACAAACAGAATACAATTTTTATTTTACATTTATAATGTACAGGAATCTGTGAGGCATTGTTGGATGAGTGTAGAGAAAATGGATTTACAAATATCAAAGGCACATGTGTCTATCCTTACATAGTAGATACTGGTTTATGCAAAAAACCTTTAATTCGGTAATTTTTTTAAAATTAGCTAAAATAATTTTTCTTGAAAAATTAAGTAAAAAGTTATATTATTTTCATAGACACAAATAGTGTTTTGAATTTGATGGTGCGCTTAAGTTCCAAAGTTCAAAATAATTATTCGTTCTACTCCAAATAGTATATTTAACCTTTTTTTTTTTATCTATTTTTAAATAAACAATTAAAAATAACGTTATATTCAGAGTGGTCCATGAAATTTTGACAAATCTAAAAACTTTGGATCCATCAAATGTTTTATGTAATTAATTCTTTTAAAATAATTTTTATGGTTACGGACTTTTAAAAGTATATTTATTATACTAATAAGAAAAAAATGAAAATAAAATTATTATTTTTTTTAATCTTTTGGAAATTTCAAAGTAGCCTTTTTTAGATTTTTTTTTTTGCAATAACTTTTTATAGGTCGATAATAACTGTAGAATAAGTAGTTATTGACTTACAAGCATTTTAATAGATTGAATGAGTATGTAGTTAAGTACAGTTTTTACAACTAATTTTGTACTCCAAAATTTTACAATTCTAATTTTAAAAAAATTAAAAAAGAAAAAAATTGTATTATTTTAGTTATTTTTTTTTTCATAATAAAATATATTACTTTCTCTTTAATTTAAGATATATATATAAAAGTATCAGTATTTCCGGAACACTTTCAAAAATTAAGTTGAAAATGTTTTACTTTCTCTAATCATTTTTATGTTTTGAACCCCCCCTGTATTAAGGGATATGGTACGATTTAAAAGACAAATATGTCGAATTAAATAGGCATATAAATAGTATTTCTCATAAAAAAATTGCATTCATCTATACATTTTTCAAAGATTTATAGCGTTATAAAGTTAAAAATATAAAAAAGAATTATTTTACAAAAATCCTATTTTTTTTATTAAATTTGATGACTGTTTTCACCATGAAAACAAAATAAAGTCCGAATTTTTTTTTTTTAATATTTAAGTATATTACATAAGCTTTAATTTAAGATATATATAAAAATGTTAGACTTTCCGAAACACTTTCAAAAGTTAAGTTAAAAAAGTAAATTTTTTGTGAAAAAGTTGTCATTTTGAACCTTCCCCCCTTGTGGAATGGTAAAGGGTTAAATTTATAAAAAAAATATACAAAATGATAGGTAAAGACATCAAGCATCTATAAAAAAAAGTTTGTTCATTTTTGAGAAAGTTATGGCAGTTTTAATTAAAAAAAAATTGAAAAAATTTCGAAAATTATCGATTTTTAAATTTATAATTTTTTTGGATGTTTCCCCATTTACGGGGAACGAGGGAATTTTTGAGGGTAATGTCTTCGACTAGATACGATTTGATTTCATTTGACGTATTGTTCATCAAAATCGGTCCAGCGAGAGCTGAGATTGAGCTTTGACAGACAAAAAAAAAAAAATTAAAAAAAAAAAACACATCATAGTAAAATTAATACCTTCTCAGCTTTGCATCGAAGCTAAAATCAATTATTTATACAATAATTTAAGGATTTTTTATTTTATTTTTTTTACAAAATTATAAAAGAATTGTGAAAATTTTTGGGGATGCTAAGTAGCTAAAACATTCCTCTACTTATGCCTGTCGTTATTTTAATAAATTTATAATTTAAAGTAACTTGACATAAAAATTTAAGAAATTAATCTCTTAATAAAGAATATTTTGATCATTTTATGTTTTGTATATCATTAAAACTGTTTTTTTATTAAAAAAATAATTTCTTTAGTTTTCCAAGTTTGTTACCAATTGTTACGCCAGAGTCTGCAGCTAAAGAGATAATAAGCGCAATGAGAAGAGACTGTTTAGAAATTTCTATACCAAGTCCATTATTACGTATAAATAATATATTCAGGTAAAAATGATATTTAATAATGTTAGGAAAATCCGTATAACTATAATTTTTATTAATGTTTTCATTATTAATTCTTAAAGTACAGAATTTTAAAAAATAAAATTCTAATATAAGTATTTAATAAAATAAATAATAATATTAACTTGAAAATTTAATATGAAATAGATAAAATAAAGCTTCTTTATTTATTAGCTTTTACCAAAGGGTATAACAATTCGACAGTCAATTATAATAAATTACAAGTGCAGTATTGTAGTAACATTGTTAAATATAGATGCGTGAATATAAAATGAGAGAAAAATTATTTAGTTAGTTGGTATGAAAAATTGTTGATATATGAGTTTAGGAAGTTAATAATAGTTGCAGTGAAAAAGGAACAAGAGGGAATATTACATTTTTTAAATCTGTAAGAAAAGTGGAAGTTGATTTGAAGAAGTGCTTGGAAAAGTAGAAGTAAAAAATAAAGGTTAAAAATGATAAAATATAGAAAGCAACCCAGAATTGTTCAATTATACACTTTTTCCTTTTATGTTAAAATTACAGACATCATGGAAATGATAAAACTTTATGATGTAACTATACTTGTTAAGTTAGTGTATGTATGAAACAAGTATAAGTATATATTAAAAGAAATTTAATTTTTTCAAAACGCCATAAAATAGGGCAACATTGCACCTAAAAGACAGTGTTTTAAAAAGTAATTGAGAAAATAATAAGTCTATGTAAACTTACCACTCACTAAGTATTTTTTATACTTATATAATATTCACTTATTTCACTACATATACTATATTAGTATTTTTATTTTGGTGTAATGTGATACAATGTAGCCCTATTTTACAGTAAATTATCAAAATTAATATTTAACTATTTATCTATATCTTTTTAAAATATTAATAACATTCATTCTTTTTCAAAATGTAAAATACTGGTAGATCATATTGTTCAAAGTTAGTAGCATAAGGTTAATTAAAATTATAAAAAAATAATTATGAAAGTTTAATTATTTAAAATGAGATTTTAATATAGAATTTTATTTTAGGTGTGTACCATATAAAATGGCATTGGATTTCAAATCTTTTTTAGGAGGTGGAGTGGATGCACATGATGATTAACACTTTAAAATATGATGAATACCCTGAACGTTTTTATATTAATATATTTTTAATTTTAAATTAAAAGTTTAAGAGTCATAATAGTTTTAGTCTTCTCGATTTTCATTTTTTTATGATAAAGAGTACACAATTAATGATAGTACTATAGAATAATTAATTTGATTTAATTTGTAATTATTTATGTTATTTATTTAACAAAAATCGGTGAAAATTTGAATATCAATTATTTTATTCATTATAAACATTATACAAATATTATTGAAAAATTTTTATTGATAATATTTTAAACATTTATCATGATGACGTTATACTAATTTTGAAAATCTTATTATTAACCAAAGTACTGTGGCAACTTGATAATATTTCAAATTTTTTTTTTTTAATTTTTATTGTTCAAAAAATCCTGACTTATTTTAATCTACATTAAATTAAAGTTAATACAATGTAATTTAAGTTGGAAAAAGAAAAATTACTCCAAAACTTAAACTCTAGGAGTTATTGATTAATAATAGTTAAAAAATATTTCTTAATTTAACATATTTTTTGTTAATTTAACTCTTTTATCAAACAATAGTTAAATCATACAAATAGTTTTCTCATATAATATTTTTTAAATAAAATTTTGATGAATTTATAAGGTAAAATAATCAAAAAAGTTTTCTGTTAATATATACAACTTTTTAACTTATAGATGAATATAAATAACGATCAGTTTTACATCCTTCTATTTCCTGAACTTAACATGTTACATAGGGTGGTGACCCTTTTTCACATGTTAGGGAGTTAAAGACAGTTCATGGCTAGGTCAATATAGAACCGGATAGGTATTATAGCCAGCTTTCATCAAAGACCAGACACGACCAATGGAAAAATCACAAGAAAAATCCCATTAGCATCCTGGGGATTGAACTCCTTGACTATATAGATGAATATAATATTTTAAATTGAGTAATTGTTCAATATACACATTCTTTTAAAACATTTTTAAAATATAATTCTTATTGAAAGAATACAAAATAAAACGTGTAATAAATGCATTTGTTAATAACGAGTCAATACATAAAAAAAATGTTAAGTTAATTCACTATATTAAATTTTATAAAAAGAGTAAAAATGCATTATTTATTATTATAAATTAACTTTTTAATAAACATATTAAACTATGTTTAGATTGGGTAGACTTGCAAATAAATTTTTAAGATATATTATGAGTACTATATTCAATTAAGAATAAGTTTTGGTAAGTCATAAACAATCTAAACTTATAACAATAGGTTTTTTTTCATTTGAAAAATATTTTAAAGTCATTTTACCATTGTATAAATATAATTTTCTCTCTGCACCTTTGATTCCCTAAAAAAATTGCATGTGTGTAATCTAAATTTTAAAAAGATAAAAATTTCTTTACCTTTTCAATTTTTTCCTTCAAAAGAGGATATTTTGAAGGATTCTCTCTTAATGGAACAACTTCGTGTGATGAGATACCAATCAAACTTTCTAAAACCTATTATAAATTTCAATCTATTACTTAAATTAAATAATTGAAATATTCTTACCAATGGTGAAAATTCTACATCTTCTTGTTTTGAATCACAAATAATTGTGCCAGAACAAATCCATTCACTTTGTTTTACTTGTATTTTTGAAAGCTTAACAACTTTCACTGAATTAAAAATTTTATTGTTACTGTTCACAAATAATTCAGTATTAGATATATTAAGATCTTTGTCAGCAACTTTATATTCTAATGATGGCCGTTTAGTTTGAGCCTGTAATGGAGATCCACTTGCCTCTCTTTTGCCAGTTACTTGAGCATTAGATGAATTATTTGTGTCAGTTGATGTATTAAATTTGTGAACAGAATTAACTGTTAAATTATTAGATTTAGAATGACTGGGTCTAAATATATCTGTTATTTGGTTTTGTTTCAGTTGAATATTCTCATTTGTTTTATCTGACTTGTTAGTATTTGTATTAATTGAAATTGAAAAATTATCATTACAATTTGAAGATGATTTTTGGGTAGTTTTACAAAGTTCTTTAGATAATGTTGGTGCTTCTGTTATATTGGAAGTTTGAATAATGTGTGATTCAATTTCTGTTATTTGAGATAAACATAATAAATCATCTTCCTCATCATCATCCATAAAATCTTCATACTGGAATAAGTTACATAAATCAATTTTAATAATTAAGCGATTAACATTATTCACTTCTTAAATTATTTCAATTATTAATGAAACAAAATAAGACTACTCAAATCAGTATTTCTGATCTTTTAAACCACATAGAATTTTAATTTATATTACTAGATATAAGTCTTATTATAGTTGACACTAACTAATATAGGTGTATGTAAAAACATGACATTTTGCGCTAATAAACATTTTATAAGATACTAATGTGACAAAGTACAATGTGTGAAAAACACTAACCTAATCAATGAGCACACACAATTTTGAATCTTATTGCAATAAATCATAAAATAAATCAGTTTTGATCTTATTATTCAATATTCATTTATTAAAGTAAGTACTAGTGTAAAATATAGTATGCATTATAATACTAAGAAATAACCATTTTTACTCACATGGCTATAATTATCGCTTAAGTTTGAATTACTTATAGGATTAATAACATGTTCATTTCTTTTATTTTGGTTAGACATATTATTTCTTGAAAAATTGTTTTCAGTTTCTAGGTTTTGCTCAACTGTTTTTTCTACCTCTATATCTGAAAATGCATATGGGTTTTCCAACTCTGGTTTCTGTCTAAATATAAAATTAAAATTAATGTTGAGTTCTAAAAATACCAACTTAATTGTTTTATTTTGTCAGAGGAAATCATTTTAAAATTTAAGCTAATTGACCGAATTTTTAACTATAACATTTCTATTTCTATATAATTAAAGTAGTAAGGTAAAATATATTAGGTTTACCCATCTTTTTGTTAATTAGTTAATAAATTAACTTATATCATAAAAAGTATTTCTATATATTTTTTGAAAATAAGTTGAAATACAGTTCTATGACTAAAAACAATTAGTGATTTTTTGACGTATCATTGAAAAAAATTGGATCGGTGAGAGCTGAGAAAAAGTGGTAACAGACACAAACAAAAAACATATCATAGTAAAATTAATACCTACTCAGCTTCTCATCAAAGCTAAAAAAAAAAATTGAAAATAGATTGTATAAAATTGTATATAATCTAGATTTTTAATATATATATATATGTATGTATTTTAGTCATTATTTAAATAAAACCAAGGTACAACACTCTTCTTAATTTAGTTTTTATTCATATAGTAAAAAAAAACTACATTACTACCAGGACTTAAAATTTTGCCAACTGAGAAACTAGCTAAAAGATTCAAGTGTCTAAATTATACGATCCCAAATGACACTCCTGTTTTTAGTGTAAGCTTTAAAAAAATCAATGATATACTCACAAAGATCTGCACAAAACATTTAATGGAGCATTAGAAATTAACATGTGATCTACTTCACCACCAATGAAATGCACATTTTTAGATTTAAGTAATAGAACACCTTTTCTGAATTCAACTGGTCCAATAATAGTAATCTAATAATAACATAGGTATTAATATATGCATTTATTTAAATGCTATGTTTAGGAAATAATCAAATACCTTAAACCCTGGAACAAATGGCTCTTTTAGACAAATTAATGGTTCATACTCCATGGCAAATATATCTTGTTGCCCATCAGTACATGACATTTTTAATATTCGGTGTAATGTTGGTTCCCATACAGCTATCTTAGAATCATTGATTTCTGAGTTACTGATATCTTTCTTTAAAATTATATTATATTGTGAATAACATGATTGTCCTACATTAATAATCTCATTCACCTATTACAAACAGTATAACATTCATAAAAAAAACTAATACTTTCGTATTTTTTTAACATGATATTTCATTTGAAAAAAAATTTAAAAACCTCTTACTATATTTTTTATTATTGTGTAATTTACTAAACATTATGATCTTAATCTAAATGGTATTTTTTAGTACTTTAAGAATTGAATTTTCAACTTTTCTTTTAATAAAATTAGTAACAATATAAAATTTTATGTTATCGAATAATTTTTCATAAATAATTTTTTTTTTTTATTAGAAATAACACCTTGCGAGGTAAAGAGTACATTTTACAACATAGGTAAGTGTAATGAGTACAATTATTATAAAAAGAACAATTGGATAAATATAACAAATAATTGAGCTAAATATAATAAATTTTCAGTATTAACAATTTACAATTATAATAATTACACAAATAAATAAAATACTTAAACGATTCTAAAGAATCAAAGTAAAAACCAAAATCCTTAATATAATTAGAAGATATATTACTTTTATTAATGGGGCTTGATTAACTTTAATTTTGGAATTAAATAATTTAAAAAAGTAGATAATAGCATTTTAAAATAAAATTTGAAAACACATCAATGTTTATAGTTAAGTCATTAATTTTCCATAATTATAGAATATGTTAATATCGTGTTGTAGCACAGAACAATTAATAACAGAGATAATTTTTTTTAATATTTTTAAATTTTGATTTTGTGTTTCTTACATTCAGTAATTAAAAGATAACTGTTTGAAACCTGCAATTGTTGTAAATTCTTCATATCTGTCATTTTGTTTAATGTGTGTGTGTGTAGGTAGAGTCAAGGTTAGACTATTGGTCCTTTAGTCGATCTTAATAGTAAGTGTGTATGCTGGCTAGTTTTTGAGCTTAACCATACTTTAGTAAAAATGTAGTTTGCTACTTTTGAGCTAGACCATGCCGATGGGGTAAAACCTAACCCTTTAGTGGTTCACTAACTGTACACATTAGGGCTGACCAGCTTACCCTTTAGGAGAACTAATGTTTTTTGTATACCTACTTAGTGGTACTACAGATGTACGACATTGTGTAATTATAAACCATTAATAGTAAAATAATGTTGAATAATACAAATTTTAAATGTATTAAAGTTTAGTTCAATTGTAAAACAAGTTATAAATTCCTTTGATATTAACAAAAATTATATTAGGATTATAATACTAGGTAAATTATCACAAAAAAATATCAGTAGTGTTAAAAATTCTTATTAATATATGTTCTATAGGTTTTATAAAAATGATTTTGTTGTTGAGCTACATCTTTATTTAGTTTTAACATTATTTAAAAAAGATCATACTTGAAGACAAAATTTTCCATTTAATACTATATTTTCTTTACTGTTAATATTAGCTGGTAAAGAAGACAATGCTATTTGCTTGAAGTCTGCTAAACTTAATTGTTCTCTTACCATTACTGACAAATCACTAATGGTTGCCTGTAAATAGTCTTTTATGTACTTTATATTTTAAAGATAATTTAAATAAAAATTTACATTTGGATCATTAAATTTAAAAAAATCAACACATTGTTTAAACCATTCATTTTCTTGAGATACAACAACATTTATGTTATTTAAGTGGCGAGATACAAGATTATAAAGTTCCGATGTAGGAATTGCCATATTTTGTAATTATTTTAGAAATTGCTATTTAAATACATATTTTAAGAAATAGAACTGTTAGACCAAGACACTTTAAGCACTAAATCAATCATTTGGAAGATAATGAGTATTTTATGAAAATTTATCAGAACTAATTCATATATTTTCAAGTATTTATTATTTTAAATATTTTATGATTTGATGAAAAATCGCGCATTTTAAACTAAGCGTTGTAGTCGGGTAAAATGTTTTCTGATAAGATAATAGCTTCATTTCGATTCTACTACTACTATGGTTTTTAGCACGTCCACGGCCATATTTTTGACAATAGAGAATGTTCATAGATATATTATAAATATGGGTAGGACATTAGTATTTGAAGCCCTTGTGTTTTCGCGGTCCTGAACTGATAAGAAATTGAGGCCATTTGTTTACATTTTAATTGTGATAAGCGCATACGATACTGTTTACAAGATCTATGAGAATATTAAATATTTTTATCAATAATGAAAAATATAATTATCTCTTATCGAGAGATTACAAAATATTTTATGTTAAATTAAATATTTACTAGTTTATTAATAAAATTTTCAAACTGCTAATGGATAAAGGAAAAAAGTGTGATAACAAAAGTCCTAGTAAGTAATGGTACAAAAATATTCCTAACTGTATTGATCATATTATATTTTTGTACGAGTGTCATGTTTTCGATCAATATAATTTATTTTAGCCAAAAATGTTTACTGTTTGAAGTAAATTATGGTGTCTGTATTTATAAACGTTTAATACGCCGAATTATATTTTTAAATGTATTATTATGACATCACAATAGTAACTAAAAAAAACACGTCATTTTCATTATATATTTTTTCGTATAGATGTTTTGTTTAAAAATTATTCGTAACTAACTTGCTAGTGTATTAGTTTATAAAATTTATAGCGAATTATTGACTAAAATAATTAATATACACTTGCATTAGAGAGTTGAACTCCTTATTAAATTTGGTATGTATCTTTTATAAAACTTGGATGTTGATATAATGTCAATGAATTTTCTAAATATTGATATTTTTATGAAATTATAAAATACTATTTTACTGTCTAGTTATTTTTTGGTTTTGATGCAAAGCGTGGAACGTTTTTGTTGAAGTTTTGTTTCAATACTCAACGTGTTAGTGTACATTTCTATATTATTTTTTCTAATATGATTTATTAATAGTCAACTGATCATAAATTTCACTTAATTATTATTTCTGAAACTGAGAAATTTTTGAATATATTTGCTCAGTTTTTTAAAGTTAAAGTATTCTTTCAAATTGTTAAGAATTTATAGAAAAAAATTTGATTACTTATTTATTAGACCTACATCAAAAAAATAATTACTATTTTAAATATTATTTATAATATTATTATCTTAGATAACTAATGTAGCTATATTATACTGAGTATAATATAGGGTATATAATTTATGTAGAGTGTTATGTAAGTAAGGACACGGGTTTATTTTGTTGTCATTGTTTATAACAATTAACCTGTTTTCCTACTTACTGAATATTCTCTATATTATTTAAGATAGCAACTCACGCTATTCCCATCATCTGAATTAATGTTTTCAGCTTATTTTAAATAATAATTAGACACCTTATAAAATAATACATATGGTTTCACTTTTAAGATTTATTCGAAATGTATATAATGATAAAATGTTTATAATAGTATAGGAGCAAAAATCTTTGTTTTTTGACATTTTAAGTCCTGTTGTTACTTATACAATAGTTGTATATGTAACAAGTTTACTTTATATTATTTAAAGTAAACTTAATAATTTATATATTGACGTATCACATCTAACTGTACAACGTATGGTGAAATTATACGCATAGATTTAATGGGTTGATTGTTGGCAACACTTGTAAGTTATCAGTCGTGATAAGGAATAATAGACTCGATAGGCCATGTGACTTGTTTGGATAATAAATAAAAATTCACATTATTTTGTCTTTTATACTTTATAACATGTTTTTTATTTAATAGCGATTAAAAAGTATTTAATCGCTCATAACTGTCTTAACTAACGAACCAAGAATATTAAAGATTTATTTTATAGTGAAGTTAATACGTTTTTACAATGTTACGAAGGCAAGCTAGGCTTCGTCGTGAGTATTTGTATAGAAAAAGTTTAGAAACCCGTCAAAAAGTTATTCAAGATAAAAAGTTTCGGTTAAAACAGTGTTTAGATGAAAATGTGCCTATACATCATGATTTGCGAACTGAAGCTTTAAATTTACAAGATAAATTAGAATGGGATGACAACACTCCAGCATTATCATCAATCGCAGGTGGAGAAGAAGGTGGAACTGATGGTACGCATGAAGATGATGAGTACAGGTGGGCTGGTGTCGAAGATCCAAAAATTATGATAACTACATCTCATGATCCTTCAGCTAGATTAAAAAAATTTGTGAAAGAACTTCGACTTATATTTCCTAATGCTCAACGTATGAATAGAGGTAATTATGAAATCAAACAGCTTGTTCAAGCTTGTAGAGCCAATGATGTAACAGACTTCATTGTTGTTCATGAGCATAGAGGTGTTCCTGACACGTTAATTATTTGTCATATGCCTTATGGTCCAACAGCATACTTCAACTTAACAGATGTAGTTATGAGACATGATGTACCTGAAATTGGTACTATGTCTGAACAATATCCCCACTTAATTTTTCATAATTTGGAAACTAAACTTGGTAAAAGAACAATGAATATTTTAAAGTATTTGTATCCTGTTCCCAAAGAAGATAGTAAGAGAGTAATAACATTTGCAAATCATGATGATTATATATCTTTTAGACATCATACCTACAAACAAGTATTAATTTAAATTAATTTTTTAATAATAGTCATACTAATATGAAAATTATTTTTAGGTTGATGGTAAAAATATTGAAATGCATGAAGTTGGTCCTCGTTTTCAATTAAAACTTTATCAAATTAAATTGGGTACCTTAGAAATAGCTGATACTGCTGATACTGAGTGGATGCTTAGACCTTATATGAACACAGCTGCAAAACGAAGATACTTATCATTGAATGACGGATGGACTCAAGATGATACAATTTTCAACTAATTGACTTATTTGTTTTATTAAATGTTTAAAATAATAAAAATATGAAATTGAAACTAAAATAAATTATATAATATCAATAAAATGTACAAGTTAAATTAATGTTATACTTTCAGTAGTGTGAATCATTTAAACAAACATCAGTTTACTTAATATAAAATACACGTTTATCCAAATAGTTTTAGTTTTATAAAAGTATAGTTTTCATGTAGTTATTATTAATGTTTGAATTTATGATGCATGCTGTCATATTACTGAACTAAAATTATACTTTTCTTCTAGATAGATTTGGTAATCTCTTCATATTTATATATATTATCAATTTTTAAAACGGGCAAATCTTAAGAGGATATAGGAGTGAAACATTTCCTTACAACAACTTAAATTAATTTATTTGTTCATTTTAATCCTATACAGATATTAACATATACATAATATTTGTGTTTGCTAATTATTTAAATTGTTGTAATGAGCATAGAGTCGTTAAATGAAATGTATTTCTTTTTTAATATTCCCAATCAAAAAAAAAAAAAAAAATATTTAATTTTTTTCTGAGTTTCAGCTCTAATATTTAGCAAATAAATATAACATTATATTTTTTTTGAATTTAATTAACCTATTTGAAGTTAAATTATTCATTCTACCCTTCAATTTATGTATGTGTTTTATTTAAAGACAGTAACGGAAGGTTTTAAATAGTTTCAGGGGATCCAGAAGTAACTGCTGTATCTCGATCAGGACGTATTATTAAAAAATCTACAAAACTACTTGATTTTGAATCATCAGACTTGAGTAAGTAATTGTCTAATTATAAAATGTATAGAAAGTTAGTGAATTTATTAATTTAATGTATTGGCACTATCTGAGGGTATATTTAAGATTATATAACTAAATTAATTTTTTAATCTTAAAAGGTATTTATACTTAACGCAAGAAGTATTAAAAATATACCAAAATTATTTGAATATAATATATGTCAAAAATAAAATTATTCTAAGAATAATAAAGTAACCTAATGAAAATTATGATAAATTTCAACAATTTTTATAATATATTTTTATTACTAAAAAAATAGTATATTTTAGTTTTTTATTTAAAGAAACAGTCATTTGTAATTGTGATTGCATAATAATTTCCAATAAGTTACATTAAAAATTTAGTTTATTTTATAAAACGTTAACAAGTTAAGCTATTTCATTTTTGAAAATTCATATATCTAAAGATGCTTTTATATTAATTATGAATATTATTAGATATAGTTAAGGCCCATTCTTTAAATTCCCTAAAAAACATTTGAAATTGTTCACAAAATGACATTTTAAAATTATTTTAATAATCTATGAAAGTAGAGTTTTATTAAATAGAGTGTTAAAAGAATTAGTTTGTTTTGTAATATATTAATAATAATATTGAAATATTGAAATTCTCTGTTAAAAAAAAATTGACATTAGAAATAGTTATTTTTTTATATTAATCTAATTAACAATTCTAATAAATTGTTCTTAATATGCTAATAAAATAAATTAACCTGTACAAATAAAATGACCTGTAAATGCCTTAAAAATGAAAAAAATTCAAAATAAATATTTTATCTTTGAATTTTTCATTCCTTAAATTAATTTTGTTCATGTTTGTCTATGATAAACAATAAAAAAAAAAAAAATGCAAATTGGATTAGAACTCAAGTTTTATATGATAATTAAAATTTGTTTAATTAACTAAAATTTATGAATAAACACAGTAATTAAATTTAAACTATTTTAAGTATTTATCATAGTAATAAAGTGAATGAGGGGATAATTTTCTTCCACGATACATGTTAAAATTAATTTTCTTCATTTTGAGTGGACAGTAAAGAATTTACATATATATCAAAACAATATCCTAACATGTAATAGTTTATGCTATAAGCTGTAGATAGTATTTTGTCAAATAAAATAATTTTCTTTTTTTTTTAGATGAAGAGAAGAAAACGCCTAGACAAAATATTAAACGCCAGTTAACTTCCCAAGAATCACATGATCAGGTAGGTTAAAATTTCATAAAAAATAAATGAAATATTGTAACACCAAAAGAAACAACTATTTGAATATTTTATTAAAAATAAATACTACTTCTTGAATAAATAAAATTTTGATTGGTTAACAGTTGAAAAATAATTTATTTCATGAATAGTTAAATTTGTTAATTAAATAAACACAAAATTAAATTGACATTTTCAATCTAAAATGGATACTGAGTAAATTTTTTTTTAATTAATAATATATAAAGTTAAAATAATATTAATATTATAACTTTCATTTGATTTATGTGTGTACATGTATTTGATTTTCACAAAATGTATGCAATTAACATGTATGTAATTATTACACAGTACAATTTAATAAACTATAGTCCATTTTAATATTATTCATGCTAAAACAGTCTTTAAAAAATTGACTTAGGATATTTTTGATACTATCAATTCAGTTGCTCTATAAATATTATTTTCAAGGAACTAGATTTTCAATAAATCAAAAAATATGTTCTTTAAATAATATTTCTAAAAAATAATAAGAAAAACTTCTATGAAATGATAGATTTTGACACTAATATTAATTATGTATTGATGGAGAAGTAAAGGAAATTATGCATTCAAACCTCCAATCATTAATGTGTTCCTACCCTCTGATATGTGGTAAATATATTATTTAATTTTATTTAAGACTCCATAATATTATAAATTTTTTATATAAGACATTTTAAAAAGGTAATTGTTTTTCATGAATTGAATTTTTTTCAGTTTATTGATGATGATAATACAATGGAGTTTTTAGAAGATCAACCAACTGATAGTAGTGAATGGACTGTGGACACTAAAGTGTGTAAGTATTAATGTAAAACATTTACATAAAAAATCTTTTTTAAATACTTCTGTTAATACTTATAATGTTATTAGTATTGTAGAATTTATAACTTGTTATAAAAACCTCAATATGTTTCAAAAAAAAAAAAAAAAATTACATTATGATTAACTTTATATGCAGTGATTTATTTATCATGAACCACTTAATTATTTAAAAATTAAAAGGAGTACTGCAAATTTTTATTTGATTCTTTAAAGTACATGTTTTTTCAATTTATCAATCAATGTATTTTATGTGCTCATCTCTTATACCTTAAAAGGATGCCAATTTTATTTTTTCAAATGGCAAAATACATAACTAACTAGTTTATTTATTAGATAATAGGCTAATTAACAAAATTACTGATCATAAATTATTTTTGAACCTTGCGTCAATCCTCGACTGATTGAGGACAAGGAATGTTTAGTAACAATCATAGCAACAACCGTGACTCATTTTTAGCCATCATTATATATGTTAATAACTTTTGAATTACTGATTCAAATATTTTTATTGACAAGTAATTTTCCTAATTTGCTCACTGTCTAATAAGTAAGCTAGTTAGTTATGTATGTTGCCATCTTTATAAGGTATAAGGGTTGAACATATAAAATACTTAGATCGATAAATTGAAAAAAAACATGTACCCTTAAAAGAACCAAATAAAAATTATCAATAATTGTTTATTTTTTGATTAAGTGGTTCATGTTAAATAAATCACTCTATAAAAAGACCCAAGTATAATATTATGAGTTGATAATTAATTACTCAGTAGTTAAATTACACCATCTGTTATCAACCAGTAAAAGACTCAGAAATTAAGTATTAGCATTGAGTAAAAATTGAGTAAAGTTAGTATCTATATTTAATGGTATGACCACAGGGTAGATTAGTGAAAAAACTCCAATCCAAACAACAAAAGTCTTAAGTTGGATTTTCTGTATACTGGCATATTCTTTCTTCAGTTTCCAACAAATTTAATAAAAAATAATAATTTTACATTCTTTTATTATAGCAGAAACAATTTATACTTATTAAAACTATGATAGCTATTTTATGTTTATTTAGATTAAGATATTTATAAACTTCTCCTTTTTGTTGTTTTGTTTAGATGAATGCAATGAACCAAGTGGAACTTCTGTTTCCATAGGAGAACATAATCAAGTAATTCAACTATTTTACATGGCAATTAAATATGTTTTTTTAATTTAAATACTATATTTTGTTTAAGTTTATGTATGCATTAAAAAATTTAAATATGAAAGAACCTGGGTTTGTTGCATATGCTCTATGGGCAAAAGAAGTTCGTAAAACATTAATGAATGCTTATCCCAATTACAGTGAGTTGTGTTAATTGTTTATTAAAACTATGTGCAATCATTTCAAAAACTATTTTCCTATAGGTAATTTTCAAATTAATCAGCAGTTACGAGATATGTGGAAATCTGTTCCAACTGAAGACAAAAGTGTAAGTTATGATTAACCTAAAAATTAACTGAGCTAATAAACAAAAAAAATTACTTATACATTTTATTACTAAATAGCGTTGGGTGCGTAAAGCAAAGCGAATTTTAGAACATGAAGGTATAATTGTTGAAAACTCTAATAATTCTAAAGTTGAAGTTAAGAAAAAAGATGTAAATACTTCCGATAGTCTTATTGAGATGAAGTAATTCTTAAATAATATTAAAATCATTTAATAAAATATTAAATTATTAACTAATAGTTTTTATTTTTAATGTTTACAGGAATAAAAATAAAATAGATTCTTTAAAACCAACTCAACCTATTGATGTCGCTGCTCATTTAGCGTTACTTGGTGAATCATTAGGTATCATTGGTCAACGTTTAAAAGAGCATCAAGTAAAATTTTTTCATTATAATTTTGTTAATATTATTAATTTTTATAGTAAAAACTTAACTACCTATAGGGACAAATAGCTGTAAATGGAAGTGTTTCGGTACTTCTTGATTCATTGTTATGTGCTTTGGGTCCTCTGCTTTGTCTTACTCAGCAAGTAAAAGAAATAAATGTAAATTCACAAGATACTATGTCAAAAATAATGGATGACATTGCTTACATAATGCCAGGATTATAAAATGAGTTTTTAAACCATGAAATAGATAAAAAAAAGTTGAACATTTCCCCTATTTACATATTAAATTCAAAATTTAATTGTGATGTTTTATGTTATATTTAATTATATGTGTATATATTAAATTCAATACAAAATTCAAGTTATTTTTATTCAAGTCTACTTAATACTGTAGATTGTAATTTATGTAATATGTGTAGCAATACTGAATTATTTATATTGAAGTTATATTTTATATTGTTTAGCAAAATAAAAATTATTCATTGTGACTTATTCGAACAATAATTTGTAATGAGTTTGTGTCTATCAACTAATGTTTTAAAATATACTAGTGTAAATAAATTTTTTGGTGTTTACTAAAATGTATTATTATTATTGTATAATTAACATACTCTCAATTTAATTTTAATTTTCTTACCTTGCTAGCCTATACAGAATCAAACTTTTAATGCTTACAATATGTTATTACAATGTTTAATAAAATTTGTGCAAATTATTAACCAAGTGCAAATTATTTTTGGGATCTACAAATTGTGATTGATGGTCATTAAATAAGTTTCACTTTTTGGATTAACTCATAATTATGAAATTGTTACTAAAAAATAATTCCATAGGGATTCTAAAAATATCATTTTTTTTAACTTTTTTTTGTAGTAAAAAATGAAAATATAAAATTAGAAAAATATTAAAAAATTTGACTAATACATTTACACTCATAAAATTTTTATCAAATTTTGATAGTGACAGTTGTGTGGTTTGTAAAAACTAAATTAAATTCAAAACTATTAACTTAGCTAAAAAAAAAAGTACATATAACAAGAAATCTAGCTCCTCTACACCCCATTCAAGAATGAACATAATAAAAAATATCAATGTCCTTAAAGATAAAAACTGAGATTTTAATCGTTTCTTTGAGTTTAAATGAAATTTTGAATAAATAATTCTCCAAAATTAAAATTTTGGATTATCATTGCATTAATTTTGTATTTGTGAACAATATCAAACATAACATTAAATTATAAAAAAATAATTATTTTTATAATACCAGTTTAGAGTTAATAATTTCAAATTAAACAAAAAGAAAAGTTTTTTCATAAAAATAACATAAAACAATTTAAAGTTTTTCAAATAAGTCATATATTTTGACTCAATACTTAATAATAATTTAGTTTTTAACATAACACATAAGTATTTATACTACATAATCAGTCTATTAACAATTTTAGATTAGATTTTTATATTATTTTGTACTTGGAAAATACAAATTTTTACATCATTAAAATTTAATAACCAATAAGATTTATTGGGATTGGTTAAACAAATAAAATATACAACTTTCATTAAAATTTAATATTACAATAGCCACAGAAACATGATAACATTTCTTTTTAAAAAAATATTTTGTTTTATGAAAACAAAAAAGGTTCAATTTAAAATAACTTGTGTGGTTACATTTCAAATATATTCAGCTGAAAAAATATGTAAAAGTTAAATAAATAGACTATGATGCAAAAATTATGAAATATTTAATTAATACCTTAAATTAATATCACAAATTTTAATGAGTCTTTTCTTCAGTTAGTTTGAAATTTTGCTATGTCCATTTTTCACTGCAAAAAAATTTTGTAATAAAGAATAAATTAATATTTCATAGTTAAAATACTTTACATGAAATTTAGTCAGATGGGTAAATTAAATTAAAATTTATTGTATTTTATGTGAACAAAGGTATATTTAGATAAAAACTATTGTAAGTGTATTAAAGGAATAAGAAATGTATCTTTCAAATTTTTTAATATAAAATATGAGTATATTATAAAAAATATTGAACATGATAAGATGTTATTAAATTATTAATAAATAACAAATTTATTTAATATTAGAAATATAGTTGAACAATAATTTCCACAAATAAGAAGTATACTTTCAAGAACCCATTCTGTTTATAGACCTATCTAATTATTCAATGGTAAAAATAGTTATTTGTGGATACCAAAGAAAGATCTTTAGGAAAAATATTGATTACGCGGTATTTGGTTTTACAAGATGAAATATTTTCCTTCAAAAGAAAATTATTAAATAATAATAATTTAATATTTTATTTTTTTCATTAAAAAAGTATAAAAATATACAATGTTGTTAATTTATACCTTTTTTTCTTTCCAAAAATAGTTTCAGCATCAGGAGTTCCCTTATTAGGAGTTTTTTTATCTTTCACATTAGCTGAAATAGGTTTTTGTACAACTTGGGTGAGATCTTTATAATCTTCCTCTTCCTGTCTATTGTTTATATCTAAAGTTAGCTGTTTAACTCTTCTTAATTCAGCTTGTTCAGCCATCTCTTGACTTTTTAAATTTGATGCCAATTCTGAATCCACAGGTACTTGCAAATTTTTGAATGTTTGTTTATTTCCTTTTTTAAGCATTAAAATAAAATTAACAGATTTATCTTCATTTGGACTCTTTAATTGTTCATATGTTTTTTTACTATATTTTTTTAAATGAAAAGGTATTGATATTTCTGTTTGTGGACGAGCAACTTCTTTTGTTCGTTCTTGTATATTATCACTAACCATTCGATCAAAAGATTCTAAAAAGTCATAATCTTCTGGGTCATCAACTTTGCGTCTAACAATTACATCTAAAGAGCTTTCTACAAGTTTATCACTACAAACAGTATTATCACTATCATCATCCTCTGAAGAGTCAATTTCAGAATCTTCATCTTCCACTTTTTGATTGTCATCAGCTTCTTCATCAATAGTTGACAATTGGTTATCATCATTATTCTTCAAATTATATTGTTGAACTAATCTTTCCTGTAAAAGAATAACAGATTTTTGAGCTTCTAAAAAGCAGTTTTTTAATTTTATATTTGGCCTAAGTTTTTTCAATGTATCCGTTACTAAATAGTCTATAGTAACAGGAAATGGATTTTCAGTATCCCAAGTAGTACTACTTTTCTTCAACCAAAAATAGTATTGAAAGTATATAATAAAACAATCAAGTTTGAGTTTTCCTGGACCTCTATTAAAAAATTCACCACAAGTATCAAGTAAAACACAAATAAGTCTCAATCGAAATAAGTTTTGAGGTGGATCAAATGTTGAATAAAAATCTGGCTCGTATACAACACCATATGACACAAGACTATACAGTACTTTAAAAACATCATTGCTCTCAATTAATCTATAATTGTAGAGTTCTCCAAAATACTTAATCATAGCAATTCGTCTTTGATTAAATTTTACTAAATTTGTTTCTAAACCAACTCGAATGTCTTCAATAACACCATCTACAACTCTAGTTCCAACCGAGTCATCATAATCTACAAAAGCAGCAACTAAACATGCTAAATCAGATATCATAGGGTAAGTAACATTCCAGGCTTCTGTCAGACATTTAATTAAATATGTTTTCTCCATTGAATTTTCCCAATCCATTTGCTTCAGTAAACTTAAAATTATACTTTCTTTTTCTGGGGCATCTTTAAGTTCATTATACAAAAGATGCCTTATGAACTCATGTAAAATAGGCCTTTGTTTTTTCATGATAGCTGGTGACTCAGTAGGGTTAACAAAATAGTATGCATTTTCAATCATAGTAACATAAACAGGTCTCAAAGCAGATATGGATTTTACTCTCATCATTTGTTCTAAGTAAATTTTTGTACGATGATGACTGTCAGGTGATCTATATAAATATCTACCAGCAGTTTCTAATAAAGCGCAACCCATTTCAATGTGATGATGAGTGAAATCATTCAGCAACATTTTAAAACAGTGTAAAGCTTCTGATTTTATCATTAGGTTAAATTTAACCATCTCCCCAATAAAGCGCACAACTTTTAGTTTGGTTTCAATATTAATTTGATCCTTTTTCTTGACATTGTATCTAAAATCACTTTTCAATAAAGAACCTAATTCAAGTGCAATTTCTGGCATTAAAGGGTTAAGGATGGCTACTAAGCGAGTATAAAAAGGTAATAGATCTACTCTTGTTCTTGGGACGTTAAATATTACTTTGACTAATTTTTTACGATTATTTTTAGTATTCAAATAAATTAAAAATTCAATTGCTAAATTATCAATCATTTCACGGTTAACACATTTAGGAAGCTGTTCAACAAAAGATTCAAAAATTACTTTAGTACCAATATTAGACATTTCTACATCAGAAGCATCTTTGATATCTATTATGCTTTTTTTGGTGCATTGTTCACTTTCATTTTCTTCAGTTTCATCAGGTTTTTTACCTTTATCTGGGATATAATTGCTGAGATTGGGAAATTCTTCATAAAATTTTTGAGTTTCCTCATCTTCCCAAAGGCTAGTTAATTCAGCTGGTGCTGTCCCTATGATATCTAACTCAGAATCAGTTAAATCTTCTGTTGAACTGCTCTTCTTTTCTTCTTTTAATATAATTGGAGGTTCATTTAAAATATCTGAAAATGTCATTACAGAATTGTACAATTTTTGATATGTAACATTCATTTGCTCATTTTTTGCTTTTCGTTCAGGTCTTAATTCACCTTTAGTTTGTAGAATTTTTTCATTTTGTTTTTCAGCATACTCTAAGTCACTATGCATTCTTTTCACATGATTACATAGAGATATATAATATTCTTTTAATAAGACTCTGACATTTTTTTGTTTATCACTAGTCAACATATTACTTCTTGGTATTTCAATATCATACTTCTCAGATAATTCCAACATTTCTCTTGAAACTAAACCAGCATAATCATCTCCACAATACTTACAAAAACTTAAAATTATATTTAAATTATTATGCTCTTGAAGATCTGAACTTATTAAATTTGTAAGTATATTGCCTAGCAATACAAGACCCTCTCTTTGAGGTATGATACCAGCAGATGTTAGTTCAGCAAACAACCTAAGATCTACTCTAAATTTACTCATATTTGTGATTTTATCATCTTTTTTTAAGTTTAATAATTTTTGCCATTGTTCAAAAAATGTCTTTGAAAAGTCTGAATAAGTAATGTTTAATTCAGTACATAGAGCTATCATTGCATCAATTTCTGTCATTTTAAGCTTGATTTCAGTAAGAGCTGACACAACCTCTGATAAATATTTGGTTAAATTTAGGGAGTTCATATCTTTAAGAAGTTGGTCAAGTTGCGGAGGGGGAAAATTTTTTAATCTTCTAATAAAAGCAGTATTTTTTTTTAAACTAGAATCTCTTTTAGATATTTCAGATTCATCAGGAAATGTACACTCTTGATTTTTTACCCTGTATTTTTTTTTTTCTTCATGTTTTACATTACATTCAGTGATAAAGTTAGATAAAGTTTCCTTCTGTTTTTTTTCTAGGTCTTCTTGAGTAAAAACTTCTACAGACGAAGGCCTTGATTCTGATTTTGTTGTACTATTTGAAGGTAAAATAGGGATATTACCAATTGATTGTCGTACATTATCAACAATTTTTGAGATCTGTTGTAATGAATCAGAAACTTCTACAGAGGTTTTAGCTGTTTTAGAAGATCGCTTTGTTGGATCGTTTTTCATCTTTTAATGTTAATTCTAAAAATGTAGAGAAATAATATCATTTAAAAAAGTATAGTAAGATAAAAGCTCAACTAGTCAATCATTAGAAAATTAGCTTAAATATATACTTATTTATAAGTTTTAAAAAAATTTAATTAAAATTAATTTATCTCTAAACATTATGTAGAGTCAAAATCATCATAGCTGTATATATTAAATAAACATGCTAAAACATAAAAAGTTTATAAAAATAACTAATAATTAACTAAAAAATTATGGTAATTTAATAAATTAATAAAATATTTATATTAATAATTTACTTCAGTAGATTTTTTTTACCTTGGATAAATGTTAATTATTAACGCAAATACACAAGAGAAAAAATTAAAATTGAAGAAATTAAAGGTTACATTGAATTTTATTTCACAATTTTCATTTTTCATGATTTTCGAATAACATAATGTAAGAAGCAAAATAATAGTTCATATGGACTATCAATAGTGGGATAACTTAGTAAATAATTTTTCATAACACACGTATGTAATCACAACTTCTATCAAAACAACTTCATGAATTTTTTAGCGCATTTTATTTTGTAGGTTATTATAAGTTACTTTTATAAATGATAAAAACATGAATGATAAGCCAAAGGGAACATATCATAATATTAAAAGTTCATCGTTTTATAACAAATTCTATATACTGTAATACTTTTGTTTCTCAAAAATTGAAGCTTTAACTGATCATTTATCATACATTTTAATTCAATTAATGTTGGTGTACGAATGTAGAAGACGTAAAATAGTTTTATGAAAAAATTATAGCAATGATTTTAATAGAACTCTTAAACCATGATTTTGTATATTTTTCTACACCAATATTATGTGTAAACCATTAAGTAAAGTTTTAGTAAAAAAATATTGTCTGCAATTTACAAATTTTTAGAGATTTATATTTTATCAATTTATTATTTTTTTATTTATTGACTGTTTAAATAATAATACAAATGAACTATTTAAAAAACAAAATAAATCTATAAATCTATAAATTTGTATATTTGTTATTTTAAATTGTGTTAAAAATTAAAATTTTTAATTTTTAAAATAATAAGAAAAAATTGTTTATATTTTAATTGACATAATAACATATCCAACATGAAAAACAACCAAATCCAACGAGCATCATTTGTAAGTGGCACGGTAAGCAGTTGCACTTCGTGATTTTTCAGTGGCTCAAAAAAATAAATAATTGATTCCAAAATATAATAGTTATTTGCAAAAAAAGGGTAATTAATTAAAATTTTTGATTATGAAATTTGTCCGTTTAAAAATTTGGTTATCCTAATACAAGTAAAATTACACCTCTGTAATATGTGAGGATCCCTTAAATTTGATTGTGCTTGTATTTTACATAGAAATTTATCAACTTAAACAAGTGTATCAGGAACAACTTTTTTTTAATTAAAAATAGCGTTTATTTGTAAATATGACTTTTAGTTTCACTACACATACTTTCGTTGATCTCTCTATATTTAGTAATAGTATCACAAACTGTACGTTCACTAGGAGCCTTTTATCGACTCAATATAACCCAAGTTAATAAAGTTAATAATAATAGAATCCACATTTTTATAGCGATTTTTTACTATCAATACAAGTAACTACATAGTGATTCATGTTATGGTAAGAAAAATTAAATAATGAGTTAACAACTTGTTGAATCTAAATTTGGAATGGTAACATAATATAAAAATAATTTTCTTATATAGCCGATAGCAATTATTGGTAACGGCCTTAAACTAAAAAAGTAATCAACACTTAATAATTGCTTATAAATTCTCTGGGACTCTTCATTTTATTCAATGTTAGTTAAGTTTAGATAAAATTTGAAAAAAGAAACCCAGCACAGTGGGGACGTGGCATAATTGGGTTCAGTATGGATAATATCAGACAGTGATTAAAATCACTATCATAAAAAACGCTTCGATGAAAATCTGTAAATAGTGTTTAATTTTAAAAAATTGGTAGATTATTCCAATAGCAACATGATCTCCTATTTCCTTATTTATATCCTGATTACAAGTTTTATGATTTATAAGTGTAATATATGTATAAATATTTATGATAGCAATTAAGTATAATATGAAATCGATATTTAATATTTTAGTATTGTAATTTTTACTAAGAAAAAAGTATAAAGTAGTTATTACTTTTATTGCAAACATAAATAAAAGTTGAAGATCTTGATGCAATACTAAAAAAAAATTGTTTGTTATTTATAAATAAATTTACTGGTCTACAAGAAATTTTCACGAGAGACCAAAATATACTTTCGTAAACCCATTTTTGCCCCGGTTTCAAATCTGCAATTAGAGTTTCTCATATGGCCTAATTAATGACAAAATCCTTCTAATTAATATTTATGTTTGATTATTAGGTTACATATGAATATTCAATAAATATATTTTAATTAAAAATAAATTGAAAAAGTTCTACTTTCTACATGCATTTTTATATTTTGAACCCCACCTGTATTAAGGGAAATCGTTCGATTTAAAAAAAAGTATATCGAATGAAAGAAATATATAAATATTATTTCTCATAAAAAAATTATATTGATCTATACATTTTTCGACAAGCTATAGAAATATTAAGTTAAAAATATAAAATATAAAATCGAACATTTTAACACAAAAATAGTATACGGTAGCCATTTTCATATTTATTGTTCATTGTTTTTATTGTTAATCGTGAATCTGTCTATATGCAATTTAGAGTAACACGTAATTAAAGTGTCAATATGTTGTAAAATACATCAATGACTTGTATGAAGGTCTCTACGATTTTGTTAAATAGTTGCCTTTAAAACAACAGTGCTGACGTTGACTCCATAAAAGTTCATTGTGTGTTGTTAGTATCCCCTCCATTAAGTCACAGCGAGGATTACATTTATTCAATACCACTATCAATGTTCTATTGTTTGATTATGATAAAGACGCAGTTATAAAGACTGAAAAGACACGATAATTAATTCTTGTATTTCTGGATTATGCCATCAAATATACAATAAGTAAATTAATCAATATATTTATTGCGTTTTCAGTATTTTGTCTTTTTTTAATTTGAGAAAACCAAATATTGTTTGTGCGTGCATAACAAATCAATATTTATACTTTTTATCGTAAAATTCTTTTTGTTAAAATTTTTATTCCGGTGCGAGTGCTCGTTACAGTACACATATTTACAAGTTTTATCCTACGTTTGTTAGAATTCAAGGTCTTTAATTAAAATGTCATACGCGTATCTATTTAAATATATTATTATTGGAGACACAGGTGAGTTGTTTAAAAATTGATTTCTACTTGGAAAATAAAATTAATTGACATATGTTATAGGCGTTGGAAAATCATGCCTCCTACTGCAGTTTACTGACAAAAGATTTCAACCTGTTCATGATTTAACAATTGGTAGCCTTATCATTCTTTTTTTTTTATCCTTTAAACATTTTGTAATTATTAAATTGATGTAGGTGTTGAATTTGGAGCACGCTTAATTACAATTGATACTAAACCGATAAAATTGCAAATATGGGATACAGCTGGCCAAGAAGCTTTTCGCTCAATAACCAGATCCTACTATCGAGGTGCTGCTGGCGCATTATTAGTGTATGACATTACACGACGAGATACATTTAACCATCTAACAACATGGTTAGAAGATGCTCGACAACATTCTAACTCTAACATGGTTATTATGCTTATTGGAAATAAGAGGTAATTATTTTTTATGGTATTTTAAAAAAATATTTATACAATTTAATTAATCTACAGTGATTTGGAAGCTAAAAGAGAAGTTAAAAAAGAAGAAGGTGAAGCATTTGCTCGGGAACATGGGTTAGTTTTTATGGAAACTTCAGCAAAAACCTCTGATAATGTAGAAGAAGCATTTATAAATACTGCCAAAGAAATATATGAAAAAATTCAGGAAGGTGTATTTGACATTAATAATGAGGTAATTTTAATGTTATTTATGTTTATTATATTCATTTTTAAATTAAATAAATTCTCGTTTAGGCAAATGGAATAAAAATTGGACCTCAACATTCAACTGGCAATAGCAGTGTACCTGGTAGTAACAATAGATCTAATGGTAATGGCTGTTGTTAATCAGTTTTCAAATTATTTAGTATATTCCAGCCTTTTTATTTAATACAACTACATAAAGTGTAATTTCTATAAAAGGCTATTCAATTATATATTTGTTTTTTGATTTGAGTGAATTGTTTTAAATTAAATAGGTTAAGCATGCTTTTAACATATTTATATAAATATCAATTAAACTAGTGTTTTAAATGAATATTATTACATAATTTATTTATTTGTAATTATTTAATGCTTGTGTTGGTGTGTTAATAACCACATACATTAAGCCCTTGAAAACCTTTTGAAGACTTCTTCAACAATGTGTAATATAATTTATGTCTTAAATGTAAAGATATTAAAAAATTCCTAACTCAGAATTATTTATTAAATAATTTTTAATACTAGTTATACATTGTAAAGTGCATTTTTTGTTACTTATTTTCATTATTTATATCAGTATTCAAATTTTTAATAACTAAATAGCTATTTTCAGAACAATATCCCAATTTTAATCACTCTACTTTTTTTAAAAATTATGATGTCTAATTTTAAAATATTATAACCTTTTAATTTTTATTCACTATTGAGTTACAGTATATGTATTATATTATATTCAAATTATTAAAAATAAAAATAGAATTATAATTTCATACATATTTTAAATTTGTAAATATTTATTTTTTTGTTTTATATTGATAAATATATCAAAGATCTTGATATTAATTAATCATATCTAAAATTTATTTATGTATTACTATATACTTTTTAACACAATTTTGAAAATATTTTAGTTGTGACAATAACATTATTTTCTTTTCAATATACTCTTTGAATGACTTATTATTGTAGAATTTAAACACATAATATATTTTTAAGGTATTGGTAGGTTTAGTATTCTAATTCTAAAATCTATTTTTTAGTATGTATAATTGTAAAGTCTACTATCTATAAGATTGTGTGGAGTATTGAAGGTGAAATTACTCAAATAAGCACTCTTAACACCTTGTCAAGGACAATCAAATATTTTTAATATTTTGATTTCAAAACACAAAAACTTAAAATAAGAAAAATTAAATAAGTAATTTTCCTAAAAAACTGTTTATAGAACTTGTTACAAGAAGAAACCAACAAAGTCAACAATTTTAAAAAATGTAGAATGACCTTTAATCCAAAATAAAAAATCATTGCGTATATTTTATAACAGAAAGGATAATATTCAAGTAAAAATATTTCTCTCAAAAATGTTTTCTTTATATATAAATGGGTTTAATTAAATAAAATCATAATAAATTAAGGTCAGTGATTTAAGTTTAAACATAAACACCCCTATAAAACTATTAACTTATCTCTCTATGCTAGACAAATATGTCTTAATATCACTACATATTAAAAAAACAATCTCATGGTATTTCATCAATGCTATAATTGCAACAAAATATCAATTAATTAACAACTTTATTTTACCATTTATTAAGAATATTTTTTTATAAAAATTGTTTTATAACTATTGATAGGTAAAAAATAGCTAAAAATAAAATAACGTTTTTATATAAATAAAAACTCATCATGAATTCTTAAGAAAATAATTTCATAAATAAAATATTAAACAAATAATAAAATATAGGTCAACTTATAATTAATAATTTATGAAATACAAAAAAAATTGAATTTTATCTGTGTCATTTAAACATATTTACGGTTTTCTAGTTCTAATAAATACTTTAATATTAAATCCATTAAGGTTGAAGATCTTATATGTATCTATAAATCAAATACATAAAACAATTAATTAAAATGAAAATTGAGAAACTTATAAATTGTACCACAAAAATTGTGGAGCCTTGTAATCAACTTCATTAATATTTTTATACTCTTCTTACCATGTGTGGTAAGAATTACACAATAATAAATGTATTCAGTAACATTTATTATTACACAATCAGACAAGAAGGTGAAATTAAATGTGGAATTTGAATAGCATAATATGCTATTTTAATAAAAAGATAATACTTTTATAATTATGTTAAGTCTTACTTTTCCTGACATATTAATAGTTGCAACTTTTGGTGCCTCAAAAGCTTTTAATCTTAATTTAGATGCATTTATTCCACTAGAAAATTTAAAATAATCTTCAATTTCTGATTGCACTTTTATTAAGTCTGAATAATGGAATGAAGTAGCTTCACTTGTAGTACGATTAAGATTAAGCCTGTTAATGTATTGAACAAAATAAATCAGGGTTCAAAAAACTCAACCTATTCTGGTTTTAACAGGTAAAAACTGGTTTTAAAAACAAAATTATAATATTATAATTTTGTTTTTTTAAATTTAAATATTTTTGTTACTATTATTTATTATTATAATTAAGATCAAAATCAATTATTATTCATAACATTTTGGTTCACATGACCAAAATAATTATAAAAGATTTTTAGATGCATAATTAAGTAAATTATTTATTTACTGAAGAAAATAGTTTTCATTTTTATTGAAAGCAACAGCATTCAAGATAATAATACCAGAATATAATAACAATTAATATTGTAATTAACAAAAATTCAAATATAAGCTGCAAGTTTAGGTACTTTATAAATAATTATTATTAAGCTCCATTATAAGAACTCTGATTTTTTGGATGGAATTGCATATAGATTTAATATAATTGTAAATATTAGCAGTGTGGCCTGAAAATTTTTTTATTTAAAGGTTTTTTTTATCAAAATAATTTATAGATCTAATTATGGCTAATAGGAGGGAGTTAAATGAAAAATTTATTGTTTTGACAATAAATTGACTCTTTTTACAGCTTTAATGTTTGGCTAATAATATTCAGTTTTTACTTATATTAACATACTTAGCTAAAGTTGATCGAAGAAATTCAGACTCCACAAAAAATTTTATATCCATTTGACCCTTAGATAATTCATAACCATAATGATAATGATATAAAATTGTTTCATTGTATAATTGTCCAGCATCACCCATTGATATTGCTATAAGCCAAAGAAACTCATACGGTGCAAATTCATAATGTCTTACAACACAATCAAAATATTCGGCCAGCCAACTATGAACTCCTATCATAATTGGCTTACTTCCTTGTACTAATAACACTGGTAAGTCCAAAAGATTATTTTCCTTTTTATTAGTATTATCAGGAGACTTTAACAAAACACCCGTGTATAATAATGATTCATCTTCCAAAGAAATAACTTGAAGCTGAAAATAAATTACAATTATTATTCAAGAGCAATTAATAGAAATATTTAGAGAAATTATATAGCAATGGATGTACTCTAAGTAAATAAAATTATACTTTAAGATTAAAAATAAATGTAAAATATAATTGATGTAATCAGGGTGTCATTAGTATTACACTGAGTATATAATAGTGTACTTAATTTAGTTTTAATTATTTTTGGCTTCTAAAGATTAAAATGATTCCCTCACTAGCATTAATTAAAAAAAAGGTAAGGACTTTGTTCTTTTACATTCATTAAATATTAATCATACCATTAGTTGAAAGTATAGTATATATATATAATTTAATTTATTATTTAATTGTAATCAAAAAAAATACTTGTAATGCAATACATTCTTGAAATGCTTCTTTAATTTCCACAGAAGCAGATATTCGAAGGTTAGAATTTTTTTTATTTTTACTATTAGATACATGTTTTCTTAAGTAATTTGTAAATTTTTTTGATAATGAATCTAAGTATTTTTTATTTAAATTTAAGTTCCATAAAGGAGATACTCTGTGTATATTCCAACTTTTTCCAACAAGACCTTTAACAAATGTATTGAATAATATTACAGAGCTATTGTAAATATTTATTGTGTTTTATTTTAACATTCTCATAATACTGACCAAGAATATCAGATATTTCAATAAAAGCAGTTGGATCATACGTATAATCATCCGCAATAACAGAAATTGATGCTACAAATAAGAAAAAATTGGTTTTAATATGTATGTGTTATTTAATAAATTTACCTGGATTGGACTCATCACTTATAATTGTTTGATTAATTTTTTCTTTACTATTGTTATCATTTATACCTAAAAAAAATATGAAATATAAAAATTGAAAATAATGATAAAATAAGATAATTATGATCGTTATTATAAAAATATACCTGAAATTCTAGATATATCTCCAAATGATTGTGAACTCACAGAATCATCTATACAAAAATGAATTAACTTTAATAATAATTTACCTAATATATCAAATACATACATTTGGTAGTTAAATAAAAATACAAACAAATCAATTAATACAATTAATGGTAAAATAATTTAAAAAATATATATATTTATATTTAATAAATTTTTCTTTATTTAAGTTTGAGCGCATTGTTAAACAGAACTGTTCTGAATCAAAAAATATTTAAATATACAAAAGTTATGTTTGTTGACTGAATACTTTTTTGAATTCTCCTACATTAAAATTTTAGATCATTACAACACATACCTCCTTAAAACGGCCAAGGATTAATACAAAATAAATATTTTACTTTTTAATACATATTATACCTTATGATAATTATTATTGATTGAAAATATAAAAAAAGATGATAGAAATTTCGAATTAACAATTAGATTATTTGTATTTCTAATAACTAAATTAAAAATAAAACTAATTCAATTTATTATAAGAGAATCTTTGAATAATAAACTATATTATAAGTAAATGAAGTAAGATGTTTATTAAATTAGCCATTTTTTTAATTTACTGAGTAATATAATAAAATAAAAAACTTAAAAAGCTTAATAAAAAATATAAATATGTACCAGGTTCGATATCACTAATATCCTCGGCCATTTCCATGTCGTACAATTATAAATGTAAGATGCTAATTAAATTATTTTTGTATTCTTGATCGAAGATACAGTTTCAAAAAAAAATTAATTGAATAATTATAAAAGATATCTAAATTTTTGAACTTAAGTGATAAACAGACATTATGAATTATTGTTGGTTTAAGTTGTTTCTTACCATAGAGCAATACAGGTATCACTTGATACCACAGATGGGTCGCGTTATGCTAGTTTTAAAAAAACGGTTTCTTTAATCCTGCGAAGAGTTGCTTCTTATCATTGCGCGCGTCGCTTTAGTTATCAAAATTTCTAATATTATCAGAAGGATTATTGTAAATAAACAATAAAAATATATTTACATTAATCATTATTACCGCTATTAATTCTTAATTTATTTATTATTTTTTAAATATACTATTTTTTGGTTTTCATTAAAATATTTTCGAATATTTACGTCTAGTTTTTGCAGATAAATTATTTATATTGATATATTTAAAAATAATTTTTATTAACTTTATTTTTTTTAATGTTAAGATAATTATGTATCTTCAATATTTTACTTAATTCTTAAAATTTATTTAAAATGGGTACAGATGGTATATCAGTTACTTTACCTTTAGTTGACAAAAAGGCCACCATTGTCAAATGGCGAGTCAAAGAAGGTACTCTTGTAAATAGCACTGTTGTTATACTATTATACCAAGAAGATGGCGATAAGGATCGGAAAAGTTTTCGGACAAACCATGTCGGCGTAGTTAAAAAAATATTAATTCATGAAGGTCAAGATGTTGCTGCTGGGTATGTTTTGTTAAATATTTATTAGAGGTTTATAGTGTACATTTTTTATAAATAAAATAAATATTAAAAGTGCATAGTAGTTTATAAAATAAAAAAATAGTAATATTTTATAATGTAATTTTAACTAATAGTTTTATGTTGAATTTTCTCTTTTGTTATACTGGTGCATCCATTATCAATTATATAGTCAGTTTTATTGTACAATTTAGTAACTGGGTTAATGAAATTAAAATTTTGAAGTTAAAAACTGATAATTTTGATAAAGATCTTTTTTTTTATGTTTATTTCTAAAATGTCACAAACAATTATTTCTTTTTTATCTATTCACTTCACTTATTTTTAGCTTTGACATTGCTGTGCTAATATACAAGATATGTACTATTTTATTCTTATAAATTTATATTTATATATTCTTTATATTTAAATTGCATTGTTTTAGTGAACCCATCTTAAAATTAGAACTGGGATGCAACCATAGTACAGTTGTTAGTGATTTATGTGCTGATTGTGGAGCTGACCTAAGAACAGATGATGCTGCTAAACCAACTGCATCGGTATCTATGATACATAGTGTACCTGACTTAAAAGTCAGTGAGCAAGTGAGTTAAATTCATTTTTTTTTTCATTTTCTTAATTTTCTATAAAATTCTATGATTTTTATAATGAAATAGACTGCATTGTTGTTGGGAAAAGCTGATGAAAAACGCCTTTTATCTGACAGAAAACTTGTGCTTCTTGTTGATTTAGACCAAACATTAATTCATACTACTAATGATAACATTCCCAACAATATCAAAGTATAGTAGTACATATATTCCTTTTTTTTTTTTAAATAATTAAATTGAATCAATATTTTTAGGATATTCATCATTTTCAACTTTATGGACCTAATTCACCTTGGTACCATACAAGATTAAGACCAGGCACATATAAATTTTTATCTTCTATAAGTCAGTTGTATGAACTTCATATATGTACATTTGGTGCTCGTAATTATGCCCATACAATTACACATATATTAGATCCTGAAGGCAAATTGTTCTCCCATCGAGTTTTATCAAGAGATGAATGTTTTAATCCAAATAGCAAAACTGGAAATTTAAAGTATGTTAAGTTCATCATACTTATTGATGATACTTATTAATTAATTTATGTAAGCATATATTATGTGTATGTATACAAATCTAAGTCTAATATAATATTCCAAAAATTATTTTTTTATAACAAATTAAATTGTTTGCAAAATTAAACAAATCATTGAAAATTTGTTTGCTAGGACATTTAAAATGATTTATAGTAAGCACATTTCATTAAAATTAACCTTTTAAAAAATATATATCTTTCAACAAATAAACTTTTTAAGTTAGGAAAAGTAGCCAAAGTTATAGTAAATCAAATTTTGATGTAACCTTATGTTACTCTGAAAGAGACTTTTTATGTCATTTAATTGGTTTGTGGTCTGATTGTGTACTACTTATGTTTACAAACAAATCATCCATTTTTTTGGTCTAATGACATTAGGCTTACTTTTCTTAGTCTATACCATTGAGGTCTATAATGATTTTTATCTACTTACATCTAATATTTAACAAAATCAAGAAAGTTTATGTAAAATTTATTAAAATATAAAATGTAAAAAGTTAAAGTATTTAAGTAATATTTAAATAGTAAAAATAATTCCTGTGAGTGTATTTATGAAAAATTTAACTTGATGTGATAATGTATACCTTCTTATACCTAACTTCAAAACTTTTATTTTGTTTTAATTTTAAATAATAAATTTTTTTATAAAATATTATAAAATTATATAAAATAACATTATAAAACTTGCTCGTAATTATTTGTATAAGTACTCTTAACTAGATGACAAATTCTGCTATTGTCAGTTCTAAGTTGCATCATGAAAATACAGTTATCCCTTTTATCTGATAAATTTCTACATATTGATGTGATGTGGCTTTATAATTTTTGAAAGTTTTTTGTATGTCTTAATTTAATTTGTTATTCTAACATTCACAAATTTTGCTATATAACATATTTTTTTATTTGTTCTACTAAATATTGTGTTATAAGCAGAATCGGATTAAAAAAATTAAGTTACATTAATAATAATAATAACAACTCTATTATAAGTTAGTATTCAAAAATAAGTGTAATAGTAAACTTTTTGGTAGGTAGACTATTTTATAAGTAGACGTTTTGTAGTAGACAATAAGACGTGTAGCCTTTAATTTTATATATTTTAATTTTTTTTTTTTTAGGGAATAGGATTCTTTTTATGCATTTAAAAAGTATATTTATCTTTAAAAAAATATTTAATATTTTTGGATAACTTATTATCATTTTTAAATATTTTCTATGACAATTTTTGTAGAGGATTATTTCCATGTGGTGATAATATGGTCTGTATTATTGATGATCGAGAAGATGTTTGGGAATATGCTCAAAATTTAATTCATGTAAAACCTTATCACTTTTTTCAACACACTGGTGACATAAATGCTCCACCAAACATCCAAAAGTTTTGTGATCACAATTCTAAAATTGAAAATCGTATTGATTTCACTCATTTAGTTCAAGGTAATATAAATCATAAATTGTTATGAATTATTATAAATTTTATATTATAGTAATTTTTAACTTTTTATATTCTGATCAAAATCATAATTTATCAAATTATAATTAGTGAAACATGTCCTTATTTGTTTATTATGTCTCTTATTTCATACTTTATCAAAGCCATTCAGTATAACTTGAAAGTTTTATTTTTACAGGTATAACAGTTAAAAAAGTTGTTAAAGAAAAGAATGATGGACCAATTGAAGAAGGAGAAGTTTTATCAGATGATGAATCTAAAGTTTTGACTATAGAATCTGAAACAGAAAGTGATCTAAGTAAAAAAAATGATGTTAATGAACAAGTGGAAGTAGAAGAAGAAGATGATTATTTACTTTACTTAGAAGATATTCTTAAAAATTTACATAAGGAATATTTTAAAGAATATGATGAACGATACAAAAGGCAAGGCTCTGATATTGAAGTTCCTGATATGAAACACATTATTCCAAGTTATAGATCCAAAATATTAGAAGGAATGAAATTGGTCTTTAGTGGTTTAGTGCCTACTCCAGTTCCTTTATCAGAAAGCAGAGCTTATAAAGTGGCTAGATCCTTGGGTGCTAATGTAACTGATAATCTTGAACCAGATACTACTCATTTAGTGGCTGTTCGCCAAGGAACAATGAAAGCGAATTCTGCTCGAAAACGACCTGAAATTAAAATAGTGACACCTGAATGGTTATGGTTATGTGCTGAACGTTGGGAGCATGTTGATGAGAGATTATTTCCACTTCGATCTGAAGGGTATGGTGGATTAACAAGTCGTGATCCACCTGCACATTGTAGTAGTCCAGAGCATTCACCTAACTATGTAAGATCTACTATTAATGATCAATCTAGTATTGAAGAACAAGATAAATTTGCTGATACACTTAATCCACTTTTATCATTTTCTGATGAAGATATTAAAAGAATGGCTGGTGAAGTTGAAGAAATGACTGATGATGATGAAAGTGGTGATAACGAGGAAAATAGTAATGATGACAATGATAATGAAGAACAAGAAATAAAAGATAGTGGTGGTGTGTCAAGTTCAGAAGAGTCCTTGGAAGGTATCTTATTTCGAACCTAATATTAGTAATTAAGAATTATTTTTTAAAAGTTTTTCTTTAACATTCTCATTTGTTTTGTTTCAGGTTACAGTAGAGGGCATAAAAGACGGCGTAGCTCAACAGATAACGAAGAGGATGATGGCGAAACTATTAATGAAAAATTTCGTCGTGGTAAAAACTTAGATGATATGAATTTAGAATGGGGAAATAACAGTGAAAACAGTATGGATCCTCCTGATGAAATGAATGACTCAGAATGGAATATGCTTGGTGCAGCGTTAGAAAAGGAATTTTTAGAAAACTCATAGATTAAATATTTTAATTATATTAATGTATATTTAAAAAAAGTTTAAGTTGTTTTAAATATGTATAAAGTCAAAGAAAATATTTAAAAAGGTTTATAAGTTATAATAAAATAATATGAATGTAATTATAAATTATTAAACTTTTTCTTGTGTCATTATAATTTAATAAATTTAGATGTTGTAGTTTCTATTAGTTTTTAAATAATGTGAATTTGTTTAATGTAAATTGATTGTTATAGTAATTTTATTATGTAGTGTTAAAGTAATATTTTAAATTTTCAAACCATTATGAAAATGATATTAGTAACACTAATTATATTGTATTCTTCCATAAAAAAAATGTAAATTTTTTGTCAAACAAAGAGAAATTAGAAGGAACTATTTTATTTTATTTTTATGTTTATACAAAGATAGTAAGCTTTAGTTTTTAAAATAAAAAAAATGATAAATTTTGAATCTTTCATGTTTATATTTTAGCTTCGATGCGAAGCGGAGAAGGTATTAATTTTACTATGATGTGTTTTTTTTTTTTTTTTTTTTTTTTTTT